AAAGGATGAATAAATGGGACTTCATAAAATTAAAAAGCTTCTGTACAACAAAACAAATGGTCTCTAAACTGAAGAGACCAGCTATAATCAGACAAAGGACTGATAACCAGAATATACAGGGAACTTAAGAAACTAAACTCTCCTAAAATCAATGAACCAATTAAGAAATGGGCAACTGAACTAAACAGAACTTTTTCAAAAGAAGAAATTCAAATGGCCAAAAAACACATGAAAAAATGCTCACCATTTCTGGCCATAAGGAAATGCAAATCAAAACCACACTAAGATTCCACCTCACTCCTGTTAGAATAGCCATCATCCAAAACACCACCAACAACAAGTATTGGCAAGGATGTGGGAAAAAAAGGAACCCTAATCCACTGCTGGTGGGAATGCAAGGTGGTGCAACAACTCTGGAAAAAAAGTTGGAGACTTCTTAAAAATCTAAACATAGACCTGCCATATGATCCAGCAATCCCACTCCTGGGGATATACCCAAAGAAATACAACACAGATTACTCCAGAGGCACCTGCACACCCATGTTTATTGCAGCACTATTCACAATAGCCAAGTTATGGAAACAACCAAGATGCCCCACTACTGACGAATGGATCAAGAAAATGTGGTACTTGTACACAATGGAATTTTACTCAGCCATGAAGAAGAATGAAATCTTATCATTTGCAGGTAAATGGATGGAACTGGAGAACATCATTCTGAGCAAGGTCAGCCAGGCTCAGAAGACCAAAAATCATATGTTCTCCCTCATATGTGGACTTTAGATCTAGGGTAAATGCAGCCATGTGGTTGGACTTGGATCACAAGAAAAGGGGAGAGCACATACAGGAGATATAGGAATAGGTAGAAAACCCAAAACATGAAAGCATTTGATGTCCCCACCCAGAGGAACTAATACAGAAACCTTAAAACAACAGGTTATCATCAGCAGGGGATCAGGAACCAATGTAAAGATCAGTTAGAGTTGAATCAATATGGGTTGTAATACATGGGTACATGAAAGCAATAGTAGGAATCTCGCTGTATAGTTATCCTTAACTCAACTAGCAAAAATGCTTTGTCTTTCTTATTATGCATATGTCCTTTCTTCAAAAAAATCAGTGATAAGGGCAGAATGGGACCTGCCTGAAACTGAGGGGGGGAGGGAGGGAAGAGGGGGTAGAGGGGCAGGGTGGAGAAATGACCCAAACAATGTATGCACATATGAATAAATGAACCAAAAATAAATAAATAAAAAAAGAATCTAAAAAGAGACTTACCTTATGACCCTGCCATGCTACTCTTGGGCATATATCTGAAGGAGTATAAATCACTATAGAAGACAGATACCTGCATACCCATGTTTATTGCAGATCTGTTCACAGTAGCAAAACTGCACTGTCAGCCAAAGTGCCCAACAACTGATGAATAAAGAAAATACGTGTGTGTATTCTGTGACATACACATACATATATGTATATATGCATGTATATATGCCATAGAATATTATTCAGTCATAAAGAAAAATGCAATTATGTCATTTGCAGGAAAATGGATGGAACTGGAGATCACTATGTTGAATGACACAAGCTAAAAGCTGAATATCACATGTTCTTACTCGTGTGTAATGATAATAATAGACATGAAGGTGACGGGGGGGCAGTCTGGGGGCATCAGTGAGACGGGGAAGGGAAAAGGAAAGTATACTAAGGAGTGAAGAGGCTAGAAGACAGCATAGTGAAATTGACCATACACTGTGAACTTGTTCAAAGTACATCATATGCAAATACAAAATAAGCACAATGAAACCCCGTCATATTATTAATGCATGCTAATTTAAAAATATAGCAAAACTATTAAGCAAATAAGTCAAAAGGCATATAAATCAAAAATAGTAAAATACCAAGCTAAGACAAATTCCACACTGAAAAGTAAAATTATTTGAATTTTCCTGCAAGTCGTTATTCCAAGCTTTATGATTCTGAGCTTTATGATTGAGGGCCGCTAAAATGAAAGCCCTAGCACAGATAGGTAAACTTGACATCAACTCGTACCTGGTGGTAATAGTTAGCAACATAATAGCAGTCCCTGGAATGTGTACAACCCTGCCTCTGCAATTAAGGATGTACTTATAACTCATTAAAATGTGGACTTAAAACTTTTAAAAAAGAATGCTCTCCACCTATGTACAGACTTGGAAAAATTGCTAAGACACTGTTAGGCAAAAAACAGCAATGGATAGATTTTATACAGTACAATTTATGTTATAAAAATATCTGTATCCAATATATATGTAAAAGATATATGCATACTTAAAAGATATATGCATGTATCTGTATTATATATGTAAAAGATATTTGCATATGTAAAAGATATTTACACATTATACATATATTTACACATATATATATAATGTGTACATTCACAGAAAAGGGCCTAGAAAGATATCCACCTTGTACTTCATTGAATAGTATCTGAAAAAACTCATGTTCACCTCAATCCTCAAAACTGTGAACTTATTTGGAAATACAGTTTTTTCTGGTGTAATTATTAAGTAATTATTTGGATCCTACAAATCAAAACTACACTAAGATTTCATATCACCCCAGTTAGAATGGCCGTCTTCAAGGGGAATAACAGCAAATGCTGGTGAGAATGCATAGAAACAGGAACCCTCATACACTGTTGGTGGGAATACAAATTCGTACAACCACTATGGGAAGCAGTTTGGAAATTCCTCAAAAAGCTAAAACTAGAACCACCATATGATCCAGTGATACTGTTCCTGGGCATATATTCAAAGGAAACTAAGTCAGGATACAATAGAGACACTTGCCCAACAATGTTTATCACAGCACAGTTCACAAAATCCAAGCTATGGAAACAACCCAGATGTCCTACAACTGATGAATGGATCAAGAAAATGTGATTAGATAGATGATAGATAGATAGATAAATTTCATTGTGATATATACATATATATATATACACATCACAATGAAATTTTACTCACCCATAAGGAAGAAAGACATCACATGGTTGGAAGGTAAATGGATACAATTGGAGGACATCATGTGAAGTGAAGTAAGTCACGTTCAGAAAGATGAAGACCACATGTTTTCTCTCATATGTGGAAGATACATCCAAAAGACAAACATATACACAAAAACAAACATGATCATATACAAACCTATATAGAGAACATGTTTGTAATAGTGGAACTACATTATGGCACTCAGGGAAGGAGGGAAAGGAAAAGGAGAATGACAGAGTTAGTATCATAAAACACAACATCTGTGAAGGTAAGGATATAACATTATGTATTGAAAGATGCTGAAAATGTGGAGTGGGAGGTAAGGGGTAAGGGAGAGCAACAGAAGGGGTTGAACTGACAGTGGAGATACATTGAGAAACCCCTTTGAACATCGACTTAGAAATTAATAATGAAAAACAGAACTGCAAAATAGGTACTGGGGAGAGTATTTTGGGAAGGGGAAGGGTGAATGAAGGAGATTCAGGTGAGGAATATGGACGAAGCACTTCACGTATTTATGCAAAGTAGAACAATGAAACCTTTTGCAATTGCTTTAAGTGGGGAAGGAGGGGGTTGAGAGGACAGACGATGGGGCGATCTAACCAATGTACAAAGAAAGCCTATTCCGAATTGTAAAAGTGAATCCCCTTGCACAACAAATATATCCTAATTTTTTAAAAATGGGATCCTAGTAGATTAGGGTGGGATTAAATTCAACAACTAGCATCTTTAAAAGAGGCCATGTGGAATCAGGCTTGTTGGTGGACACTTGTAATCCCAGCTCTCAGGAGTCTGAAGCAGGATGATCACAGTTAGAAGCCACCGGTGCTGCAGTGAGGCCCTGCCTCAAAAAAGTGAGGCCATGCAAAGACACACAGAGAAGAAGCCATGTGACGATAAAAGCAGCATCTGGAAGACAGTTATAAGCCAATAAATGGCAAGAACTGCTGGCAACCACCAGAAACTGAGAGGGAGGCAGAACAGATTTTCCTTCAGAGCCTCCAGAAGGAGTCAACCTATGCACACCTCAATTTTAGACTTCTGACCTCCTGAACTGAGACAATAAATTTCTTTGGTTTTAAGCAATTTATCTTGTGGTAATTTGTAATGACAGCTCTAGAAAACTAATACACACCTGTCTAACAACAGCTTGTTCTAAGGAAGGAATTCACTGAAGATTTTACAGTGAAAATTTATGCTTGCATTTTGAATCTCTTTAGGCAACCAAAAATAAAATAAAAAACTACCCACATTTTATGTTGGAAGTTTCAGATCTGTCACTTACCAAGTATGCAATATTGAGCAAACCCTTAAGCATGTGAATGTCTCAACTGCCTCATCCATAAAATGGGGGTGTTAACCCAACCCTCCCAATCTCCCAGGTTGATACTAGATGCTGTCCAGAATCCTCACTCCACCTACACCATTATTCCTCCACAATGGCTCCAGTGACTATGAAAGCCCTTCTGCTCCCACTGCCATCACTTCCTCTAATCCATATTACCAGCTCCCTACAGATTAGTTTTATCAGGACACAACTATGCATTCCTCTCCTTTTTGATCCCTCATAGTTCCTCATTGTCTATCAACTTCCTAGATTAGTTTTAGACCCTCCACATTTCAAGCTCCACCTTCTTATCCCCCACCACTTACTTTCTTGGTATAAAGTATAAGATTTATGGATTTCCCTTAACTTTGAGAATCGCCTTGTTCAGCTATGCCACTGAGTATACTTTCTTTATGAATGGATTATACCTATAAATGGATTATAAATATCAATTATATAGATATTTTACCCCTATAAATGGATTTCCCTATAGATTATGAAGGGTTCCCCTGTGGCCCTATAAGAGACAGATTTCACTTTCTTTGAATTCCTGTAGTACAAATCCCCAGCTATTTTACATGTTTTAATTTACCCCCTGCCCACCACCACCAATAAAACTGCAGGCTCTTTTTGAGGGAAAGAACTTTATTCATTATTGTGGCTAGTATACTACTGTTATGGTTTGAATATGAAATGTCCTCCATAGGCTCACATGTTGAGTGCTTTGTCTCCAGCTGGTAATGCTATTTTCAGAGGTTCTGGAAACTTTTGGAGATGGGGCCTAGCTCTTTAAAGAAGTTTATTTGGCTCATAATTCTGGTGGCTAAAGAGTCCAACTAGCATGGTGTCAGCATCCTGGCAGGACCTCCTGGCTGTATCAGAACATGGTAGAGAACGGGAATCATTAGTGCACAGAAGGGGGAGACCCATGGACCTAACTACCTCCCATCAGTCCCCACCTCTTAAAAGTTTCTACCACCTCAACACTGCCATGCTAGGGACCAAACAAGCTTCCAGCACATGAACATTTATGAGACAGACCACACCCAAACCATAGCAATAACCACCAATGATTATAAATAAGATTGAATTATATGGTTTTTAAATTATGCTGCTTCTTATTGCAAAAATCTCTTAAAAGATTCAGCAGATCCAGGAACAGGAAAGGAAAAGGATAGTCCATCAGTTTCTAAAGGTTTTGCATATATCCATTAGGATCCAATCTTCATGTAAACCAGAAGATATGCAGTTTCCCGCCTAGAAAAGAGAAATTTATCAGCATAGCAACATTAAACATTCCTAGTGGAATGAATGCTATTAATTCATGATAGGGGAAGGAGCAGCAAGATTTCAGGCTTGGGTCAAATCTTCATCTACCCATCACCTACCTATCCATCTCAGAAGGGAACAAAATGGTGACTGGGAAAATAACCACTAATTTGTTGTTAAAATCAGGGATTGACAAATTATGGGACCATGAGCCAAATCCATTTGTTTTTGCAAATAAATTTAACTGGAATCCAATCAATTAAATTCATTCATTTGTGTACTGTCTATAGCCTCTCTTGTGTTACAAGGGCAGAGCTGAGTAAGTGTAAAGGAAACTATGTCCCACAAACTTTAAAGTGTTTTCTCTCTGGTCATTTACAGAGAAAGTTTACCAACCCCTACTCTAAATCATGGAGGAGTCAATGTCAACCAGAAATTGATAAAGATAGCACATCTAAGAGAGATCCTTAGAAGAGAAAGGTGAAAAGTAGAAGATTGAAGGATTTCCAACACAAATTACACCTAATCATTTTTTTTTCAAATGATCAAGCCTGCCTATGCACTGAAAACCACCTCCAATGTCACCTTTGATTTACACTGTCACTCCTAATCCAGAAACTCAGATGGGAAATTTAACAAAGTCTCTCTGCCTTGAATTCAACCAGATTTTTTTTATCCAGTTCCCCCTCTGTAATTATTGATTTTAAAAGTATCTGTTGCTATTTACTGCATGCAAATGACAAAGCCGGACAAAGAAAGATGAAGAGAGTGATCCTTTTCCCTCAAAGAGTACTCTAATGCAAAAGAGAGCTATGTAAGCAAACAATTTTAAAAAGTGTGATCCTTGCTATAAAGGAGGTATGCTCAAGATGCAGTGAAAGCGTACAGGAACCCCCTACAAATCTGAGACCATGAGTGTTGAACTATGACTGAATTAGGACCTGGTAATAGAGGCCAGAAACTGCGTGTGCACAGTTACAGAGCGAAGGCGGCAGGCACAGTGTTTGGACATGGTAACTTATACTTGAGCACTACTGGAGTCTAAATTGTGGTAAAGCATGGTATAGTGGGATGGAAAATGAAGTTGAACAGTTAGTCACTGGGGAATCAAGAGAATATAAGTAATAGTTTGTCCATGAGAGTTTCATACAGCTCCAAAAACCCAGTGTAAGTTCGTCAGGTTTCCATCACCCAAATGCTTCTCTTACCAACGGTAGTTATGATTTCCATAGGTACACTGGATGTCTTCCCAGGACACCTAGAATTATATAAATAGATGAAGTCAGCAGCCAGCTTGTACTTATTAAGTATTCACATAATACATGGTACTGTAATTTGCCCCTGTAGAGACACCCATCCCAAGGACCTGGAGCTTCTGGTGATAGGATATCATGTATAATGAAGTCCTTCTTAATATTCTTCCTCTCTTTAAACCTGATTGCTCTCATCCTAGCATTCTAACTTACATATTTCTAACTCTTCTGTCTTTACAGGAGTTTCCCACAGAGCATGAAGCTACAGGACACTGAACTTTCTGAATACCAGAAATCCAGACATAGAGGCAAATGAACTCTTACAAAGCTATAAACTAGATGGAAATGCAGAAAAGGACTTTGAACCTCATAAAAAGTCCCACCCCCCCACCACACCCCGCAAACACACACACATGCAGAATACAGGGCCATAATGTGTCATGACCTGGGCTCAGAATTTGTAAGAGGTGGCTAATATGGGGGAAGAGGCAATTTTTGGTAATATTCCTCACCCAACAAACATGAGAGTCATTGAAGCAGAACCATTTTCCATCCACAGAGTTCCGGACATAAGCACAATAATGACCGAAGTCAGCCATCCCCACATGGGCAATCACAGCAAAGAGTTCATACTGTCCTTCAGACTGGAAGACAAGGTATAAAATGACTCACCCATTGCCCCTCCTTTTCCAGCCCTAGTTTTCGATAAGGAAACATTATTTCATCACACATTTATTCATTGCCTACTGTATGTCAGGCACTGGTAACTTCAAAGGTAGTAGAAAAAAATCCTTGACCTCAAGAATCTTACACTTAATTAAATAGAAAATACATAAAACAGAATTATTAATGGCATGTTTTATTCTCACAAGTTATTTGGGAAGACTCAACTTTTTCCTTATAAGAAGAAGTAACAAGCAGCTGAGGAAAGGCTAAGGAGTTGGAGAGTTGGGGAACCTCTCCAGAGACCTGTTTGAACTGGTCTTGAACTGGTCTTAAAGGATGAGTAACATCAGCAGACAAGTTATGGGAAGGAAGTTTGTTTTGCTTTTTGTTTTGTTTTAGAGTGTTTTCTGTTGGAGTATTTTGTTTTGGATTATTTTTGTTTTGGAGTAGTTACCAGGGGCTGGAATACAGGAGATGTTGGTCAAAACATATCAACTTTCAGCCAAATAAGGGGAGTAAATTTTGGAACTCTATTGTACAGCACAGCAGCTATTCTTAGGAAGGAAGAAAGAAAGAAGTGGGGGAGAAAGGGAGGGATGGAAGGAAATTATCCTAATGTAAGTGTAGACCTTGTTTGGATCTATATTCAAACAAAATATATAAATTGTAGAATAGCAGGGGAATCTGAACATTTGATGATATTAAGGAATTGTGAGATTGAGTTGGTTATGTTAAGAAAATGAGTGCCCATTCTTTAGAGATGTACAATAAAATATTTATAAATGAAGTGGTAGAGTGTCTGGGATTTGCTTCAAAATAATGCAGTAGAAAGAAGGTCAAGTAAAAAAAGAGGATGGATGTGGAGGTGACTCAACAACGGCCATGACTTCAACAAAATTAGAGATAAGGGCAGACCAGGTTCTGCCTGGAAGTGAGGGGGAGTGAGGGAGAGAGGGAGGGGGCAGGGGGCAGGGAGGAGAAATGGCCCAAACAATGTATGCACATGTGAATAAATGAATAAAAAAATTAAAAAAAAATCACTGGCCATGAGTTGCTGTGCGTGTTTAAACTGCTTGATGGATACCTTGGGATCCATTGTATAATTCCTCAAAACTTTGGCATATATTTAAAATTTTCCAATTTGACAAATATTTGAAATTTTTTAAGTAAAAAATTTTTATCAGGCAGACTGAGCAGGCAGAAATAAAGAAAACTAGAAGGAGAGAAAAGGAGAATCCTGTGAAATAAAGACACCATGGCATGATGGAAGCCATTGCCACACATTAGCAAGCCTTAGATTTTTAAATATCATGTTTCCTGAGTGTGAACAGACAACGGACCATGTAACAGAACCAGCATCGCATAAACAGACCCACATATGGGAATACAAAACTTGCAAATGCAGCATTTCAAACCTAGGGAGAAAATATAGTTAGGTCTTTTTTTTTCACAAAATCTCCCAATAGGTTATTATTTGGGAACAATTCAATTACACTCTTCTCTGATTAAGGTTTGTCAAACCAACTGATTGCCTTGTTGTCCTAAAAGTGGACTTTGGCTGTTTTAATAAGAAAGTTTAGCTGGCACTAAGATCCCAAAATATCACGTTTGCTTATGTACTTGTAAGTATTCCACAAAAGGGAAGCACTGAATTATAGGTTCCTTATTTTGCTGCTGTGAAGCATTTAAGTATAAACCCAATATTCGGAAATCAGAGTTATTTATTTATTTATTTATTTATTTAGGCAATACTGAGTTTTGAACTCAGGGCTTCACACTTGCAAGGCAAGAGCTCTTCCACTTGAGCTGCACCTCTAGTCCTTTTTGCTCTGAATATTTTGTAGTTAAAGTCTTGTTTTTTGCCGAGGCTGACCTGTACCACAATCCTCCTCTTCTAAGCTTCCTGCCATCACTGGGATGATAGGTGTGCACTACCATGCCCAGCTTTTTTCTGTTGAGATAGGATCTCGCAAACTTTTTGCCCAGGCTGGCCTCAAACCTCAATCCTCAAAATCTCAGCTCTCCAAGTAGCCAGGATTCACTGGCACCTGGCTTAGGGGTGTTTTTTATTATTATTATTTTAAAAGAAAGCCATTATAAACAGCAAAGGCTTGTGGAGACCGTATTGTCATAAAGCACCCACCACTGCTACTTAGGACCACATAAATTAAAATACTGCTTAAAAAACGTTGTCTTTTTCCATTTAAGACACAGACACAGAGAATGCATGAGGAGACAATGGGACAGACCGTCCACACTGCTGGGATCAAGGAAGAAGGCTTCAGCAGTTTCTCCTTTAGAGCCTCCAGAAGGAAGGCACTGGTCAACACCTGAATCTCAGACTTTTGGCCTCCATAACTGCAAGAGGAGTTTCTGTTACTTCAAGCCACCAAGTTTGTGGTTATTTGTTATGGGACAAATAATCCTAAGAAAATTAATAGAACATTTAATGAGCTTGTTATTATTTTAAATGAAACTACTCAATAAATACATTTTTATTTTGTCTTTTTTTTGAGATAGAGAGAGGGTCTTGCTATGTAGCTCTGGCTTGCCTCAAACACATGGTCTTTCTGCCTTAGCCTCCTGAGTGCTGGGATTACAGGCATGTACCACCACACCTGGCTAAAAAATAAGTCTGTCTTGAATATGCTTACACTTCTATGAATCACACCAGCAAGTGGATGTTTTCCCTCTCTCTGTGTAACCCAAGCATGACCAGCAGAGGGTGTGATTTCTCAGGTTAGAGCCTGACTCAGAGGAAACAGACCTGACTGCTTGGGCTATTGCAGTTCCTCAGTCAGTGTTCATCCTGACATGACGCCACTGCTCATCTCAACCTCACAGCTACACACCAAATCACTGACAGATCTGGAACTAGAGAACTTAGGAGTAGGTGACATCCAGGGACTGAAGGGTAAGGGCAGCTGATCAGAAAGATGTAGTGTCTGACCAGATGGATGCAGGACAGTAGGGAACACCTCACCTGCTCCTCAGCATCACTGAGGTCTCGCTCAGTGGGAAGAACCTGATTGAAATCCAAGCTTTGGGGGAAATACAACGAGTGGCAGATCTTTTCCGTCTGTGAATTTCTGATGGAGAACCGCATGAGGTGGATGGTCAAAGTTTGGGGTAAATGGGTCAGCTTCAAGACCTGAAAAAGAAAAGTCACAGTGGAGATGAAGCACTTGGAACAGACAGATTCCAAGAAGGATCAGGGCTGTGGGAGAGAAGGGCAGGACGGTATCATACAGAACTGAAGGCTCCAATTCATCAAATGTGTTAGCTCCTCCAACACTCAAGAGACACTTGACTGTCACACCACTCATTGCACATCTCCCACAGAAGGTACAAAGAGCCTGAGGGTCTGCATAGGCACCTGAAACCATGGGAACCATGGTGCTGTTCTAACCCTGAGGGAAAAACCCTACCCACTGCTCTCAGACCTTCTGCTCTTGTCCTTAAAAAGCTTGGTCCCCCTTGGTGATGAGATCCCAGAAGCCACATCCTCATCTCTGGAAATCAGATGCCCAAGGATCCCAGGTACTAGCCTGATCCAGATTCCATCCCTCAACCATCATGAGGTGTCCTTAGGGGGTCTGGGAAGTATCCATCAGGAAACCCACTAGGGGCAACCCCTGGCCAGTGGAAGTGTTTGGATTTAGGAAGTAAATACCTGTTTCATATGTGTCTTCTTTCCACATTTCTCACAGAACCACTTGTTTTTGTTGACTACCTCCCTAGGCTGAAAGAAACAGCGCAGGGAATCCTCCTACCCCATGCAGAACAAGGAAAAGACAGCGTTAGTTGGTTCTTGCCATCTGGAGAACAGCCTCCCTGCCCCTGCTGGTGGGGACTTAAGCTTTACTTCCACTTTTCTCATATCCTCCTAAACAGCCCCTGGTGTGCTACAGTTGTCAGGATCTCAAAAAGTGCCCATTGATTGGAGAGACAAAACAGAGGTGCACTTGTTAGGGGAACAGTGTGAGGAAAGTGGAAATAGGGGAAACACATTTTTTGCCACATCAAAGGAGAAACTGACCAGAGCCATGCAAATGAAATAGAAAGTTATTCTTTAAAATCCAAGGGTAGAGGAAAGAAGCAAGGAGGGATTGGGAAGATTGGGGTATACAAATTCACCAGTGTCTTCAGGGGCTTTGAGTCCATATCAAAAAGAGAAAGAGGCAGTGTTAGCATGGTGCTGTTTCTGCTGCTCTCTCTGGTGCAGCCCAGGCAAAGCAGGACCTCCTTCATCCGGATTGTGAACAGGGCCTGCAGCCTCTCAACCTGCAAGAGGGAGGGAGCAGAGAGAGGTAATACAGGCAAAAAGCCACACCAAATCGGGCCAGAGTCCAGAATTCAGACCCATCAGACAGAGCAGCCCTTGTTGCTTCTTGCTCTGCACATAAAGGTGCAAAAGGGTGACAGTAGCTACTAGGTAAATGTGGTAAGCAGTTTATGTGGATTAATACTTTTTTTTGGCATTTGTGAGGTTTGAACTAAGGGTCTTGCACTTGCTATGCAAGCGCTCTACCAATTGAGCCTCTCCTCCAGCCTTTTTTGCTTTAGGTATTTTTCAAATAGGGTCCCGCAGTTATTCCCAGACTGGTCGGGATCTCAATCCTCCTATTTATACTTCCTGCACAGCTAGGAGGACAAGCTCATGCCACAGCACCCAGCTTTTAATTGGCTAAGATGGGGTCTCACAAGCTTTTTGCCCAGTCTGGCCTGGAACTGTAATCCTTCAACCTCCACCTCCTGAGTAGCTGGGATTACTGGCATGAGCCACCACACCCTGCTGGATTAATACTTTTGTTCCTCACTACACATTGTGCAAATAGTAGTTGAATGAGTTCTGTGACTAGCATTGTAAACCTCTGACTTCTCTAGTTCCAGTTCTTACCAAGTCCACATCAGTGATTTGGTCCTTAATCAGGTTCCAGACTGTGAGGTAGAGCTGAGCAGCATCATGCTGGACAAACACTGGTCAAAAGAGAGGTAACAGCGCGGTTAGTGATTAGGATGGTTCATGCCCTAGCCACCTACACACACTCATCACTTCGTCTTTTCACCTTTCCCCACTCCCAAAAGGGCTAAGTGTGTGGTACATATTACGTGCTCGATAAATGAAAAGTATGCTTGGTATTGATTTTTAAGAGCTCCTCTTAAAACTTAAGACACATCCCCTTCCAAGACACAAATTTTCCTGTCCTTTCAGTCACCATCCCCTATATCATTGATCTACCTAGTGGACCCAGGTAGGTAGAGCCAATATTTTTCTCCTATTTCTATAAACTGTACTCCTGTGACCATCTGTTCCTCTATTGCTTGACGTGACTTTTTTTTTTATTCAGTCCCCTAAAAACAGAAAGTTTCCCAATACTTATATGTGACCCAGGTTTTCCCACAGTTGCCTAGTAAAACAAGGAGGAAAAGGACCAAATCAGTGTTAGATGATGCTGGCTAAGAAGGAGTGAGAATTTAGCAATAATTCTGCAGGAAGTCTAAGAAAATGAGAAACACACTAAGCACTACTTCACAAAAGGTAAACACACACCAAAGTGCAAAGACATCTCAAGAAAAAGGTGGTTATTATAAATTTGCTAATCTGCCATCTCAACACCATTTGCTTTCCTCCTTTCAGAATACTTATCATAAAGTGTACTTCAGATGTTCAAGATAGTTTTCTTTTGTTTTGGGCCTGTCCTGACTCTAAACTGTAAGCTCCATTCTGTCAAAGACCCTGCCAGCCTGGTGTCCTGATGTTCACCTGGCAATCAGTAGGTAAATGTTCATGCATTAGCTGATAAATTAATTAATATAATGAACCCAAAACTCAAAGATCGCCTAAAAGTAGGATTAAACTGGTACGCTCCAGGAGAATATATACAGAAGGATTCCTGCCACAGAGCTGACACTAGACATGTAAAGGAAATAGGATTAGACTGCCATGTGAAGATGTTTTGCCTTCATCTGGTCATCCTAGAGCTAAAAGTTTCCCATTCACCTAAGACATATAAGGACACTTTCCTCTCTCACAATATACTTAATACTGCCTTTGTAGGAGCATTACACCTGCCAAAGGAAGTCTTGGTCCCCAAAAACCTATATTCTAATGGAGACAGGTATTCAAATAATCATAATTCAAAGAAGAATAAGAAAAATTCCCAAAGGTGTACAAACTGCTACGGAAAACTAAAGGCCTGTACTCCATAAATATGTACAGTTATTATGCCAATATAAAAAAGAAAACCACCTCAAAAATAGTAAGTTGCTAGTAGTCACAAAAATACATATATTAAAACAAACTTCTTTTAAAGTAAATATATATATGATGTAAATCAATGCCTCCAGTATAATGGGTCCAGAGTGTCTTCCTCCCTTGTTCATTCTCCCCCTCCCTCCTCCCTTCTCTCTTCTCTTTCTTCTCTCTCTCTCTCTCTCTCTTTATCTCTTCCCCTCTTTCCCCCTTTCAGGCTTCCACCCCTGGAAATGAGCAGGAGGCCTGTCTTACATGGCACGTTGTACTTCTGGAGGCAGTAGGCAAGCTCCATGGGGCGTACTGCTTTTTGCCGGCTGTCCTGCATCTTCTCCAGCAGCAGAAGCAGCTGGAAGGGGACACTTCTCCTTTGCTCTTCAGCACCCTTTGGCACTGTTATTCTGCAAAATAAGAACATCCAGGAACCTCCTTACACTCACTATTCTCTGTGGTAGGTGCACATTGGAGTCACTTGGGAACCTTTAAAAGAGCTCTGTGTCCGGGTCACTCCCCACACGATTTAAATCAGAATTCTAGATGTAGGTAGGTTTAAATAGATAACCAAGGTTGAGAACTGCCATGTTAGAGAATGGCCTATACAGGGTACCTTCTTAGAGGGGGACCAAAGCACCTCAGCCCTGCCCTCACCCAGCCCAACAAACACACGATACTGAAGGATGATAAAACGTCTATCCAGGCATAAAATAGGGGACAGTTTCAGCAGGAGGGGCAGAAATGAAAGGAGAGAGCTAAGGGAGGTAAACATGAGTGAAGTACTCCACATGCAGGTATAAAAACAGAATAATAAGGGAAGGGGGATAAAGGAGAATGATGGAAGGGTGAATTCAACTATGACACATTGTAAGAACTTTTGTAAACGTCACAATGGACCCCCAGTACAACAATAATATGATAATTTGAAAAAAGAAAGAAAATAGAATAATAAACCTGTTTAAAAAAAGTCTTAAAAAGGGGTAAGGGAGGATAAGAAAGAGTATTGGGGGGGTGAAATTGATCAAAGTACATTATATGCATATGTGGAAATAGCTCAATGAAATCCTTCTACACAATCAATATACACTAATAAAAAAGAGAAAAATAAAACTTAGCGTGAACCATAAATAAATTAGTTAAATGTGTATTATTTTATGTTTTAGAATACTCAATTATCCACAGTGACTTGGATTTTTAGAAGCCCTCTTTCAAAAGTTGCCAGAGAAAAAACTCTTTTTTCCACCAGATTCTGGGTACGCATGGGGGCAGGCAGCTAAACATCCAGCCTGAAGCACTTCAGATTGAAAAGGTGAATTCTGAGTTAGATCCTGGAAAAAATGACATTAGGAAGGAATGACAGACAGTGTATTTTGGCAATCATTCATTTAATTATAGGTATCTCTCACTTGCTCTTGTCAATGAATGGAGGGAAAGGAGAAAGCACAGGGCAAAAAAAAAAAAAAGAATAAAGTATGTGTACAAGTACACACACCTCACCCCATTGGCTTTCTCTGGTATTTGTATAATTCCAATTCCCTTTTAACCAAATCAGTGGCTGTCAATCCTGGCTGCACTTTAAAATCACCCAATGAATCTTTTAAAAAGTATCAATGGCCAGGCATACTATAGCACACCTGTAATCTCAGCACTTAGGAGGCTGAGGCAGAAGATCTCAAGTTTGAGGCCAGCCTGGACTACATAGTAAGACCATGTATCATAAATACATACATACATATTAAAAAGGAAAGGTGATTCTAATGCATGGTCCAAAATATGCAGAAAAAGATTTTTTTCCTATTGCCAAATCACTGTGAATTACTGAATATTCTAAAACATGAAATAATACATATTTTTATCAGTCTGAATTAACAGTCTTACCTCTTCAATATCTTTGTGAAGTCCACATTCATTATAAATACCTGAATCAAGGAGTTAAGGCAACAGGTCTGTCCAATGTTGTGCAAACCAACTGGGCCTATAAAGGGAAAAAAGAAAATACTGAAGGCAAGATATAGCACTTAAAAATCAACTTTTTCTAGAAGCTATTGAAAACAAGAAATACCATAAAATTCTCCCAGAGATACTAAGAATTCACTGGGGAGCTTGCAAAAAAATTGGAGAAGAGATATCATGCATTAACTTTTTAAATGTTAAATGACAGAACAAATTTTAATAATCCATTGGAAAAGAGAAATATCACAAAGAGAGTATTTTCATTGACTAATGAGTAGTACAAGTAGTTGTTAGAAGAGAAAAGGAAAAGAAATAAACATTACTAAAAGCATATCTGGGGGAATTTAGGGTTCCTCCCATTCCCCACCCAAACTCTTCGGCAAGCTGAGTCAGAATGGGCATCCATGGGATTCAGGGATGAGAGTAATGCATAGCTGCTCTATGTCAGACTCCAGTGGCTGGATCTCTGCCCGTTCTTACCACAAGAATGGAGGAAATCAAAAGACAGCACCAGGGGAAATCCACCTAATCAAAACTCACATCCAAGAGACTGAAAACCAGAAGCAACTTTGCAAGATATAAGAAAACCAAAAGATAACATTTCTCCGACCCACTAACAACCAAACTCACTTTCCCAGCCCAACCACAGGCTTGGCCTACCTGGAAGGTGAGCCACTGAAAAGAAGAGAGTACCACTAATCTCAGAATTTCTGGGGAAGGGTCTTTAGTGTATATTAGATGTAAAATTATAAAAATGTAAAAACCCAGGGGCAACAGGTGCTCTGAGATTTCTGCTCCAAAATCTCTCTTCTAGAGAGACTTGTACAAATATAACAGGAAACTAATGCCCCTGGCACTAGTTTTTAAAAATGCCACACATGATATAAAGCAGTTTCCACAGATAGTCTCACTTAACATTCCCAACAACCCTATGTGCTAGAAACTGTTATCATCCCCCTTTTAGATGTAGAAACTGAGGCACAAGAGATCAGGACACCCATTGATCATAAAGCTTTGTGGCTTCAGAGTAATAATGAGTGAGCAAAGCATTGCTATACAGTGAGGAAGAGAAATGGGAGGCTCTACTGACCATGAGGGTGGTCCCAGGTACTGAGATGTTCTCTTTTCCTCTTCATGTTGTTATCTTCCTTCTCAGCTGGTTCTCCTGGGCACTGCTGAGACTCAGCCAGGATTGACTGATAGTTTTCCCTCAGGAACCCAAACACCTTGCCCATTAGTAATCACTCCAAAATCTCCAGGCCAGAGCTGCCTGCCTGGTGCTCAAGATTCCATAGCTTCATCTCCAAGAAGAGTTCCCATAAGCCAGGTACAATGGAACCTCTGTAAAAACACACAACAGGGAGGTACAGATAAAAGAAGTGAAACAGTATTCATGTAATTAGTTCTGATTTCCAAGAGTCAAGTCTTAGGGGGAAATAACTCAAAAGGTCTAAGTCACGAAATAACAATGAGGCTAGACATCACCAACCCTTTTTTTTTTTTGAGGTCTTTTTTTTTTTCATTTTTCTTTTCTTATTCATATGTGCATACAAGACTTGGTTCATTTCTCCCCCCTGCCCCCACCCCCTCCCTTACCACCCACTCCTCCCCCTCCCTCTTCCACCCCCCAAATACCCAGCAGAAACTATTTTGCCCTTATTTCTAATTTTGTTGTAGAGAGAGTATAAGCAATAATAGGAAGGAACAAGGGTTTTTGCTGGTTGAGATAAGGATAGCTATACAGGGCATTGACTCACATTGATTTCCTGTGCGTGGGTGTTACCTTCTAACATCACCAACCCTTGATCCCCCACATTTCCATTTGTCCTCTCAGAATGAACTGCTACCTCTTAACACTGAACTACCTTTTTCCTCCTGGTTTCTCTATTCTGGTAAATGGGCTGACATTCACCCAAGGGTCCAGTCCATAACTGTACATTTCTCCTCACTCTCATCCCCTAACAATCACCAACGGCTATCAATTCTACTAGATTAAGGCTGCTTGAAGCAAACTCTATACCCTTGACTTCCTGTAATACACCTCTAGACACTCAAGACCCAATAAAGTGCTCCCTTCTTTGGGAAGCCTGTTCTTGGTCCTCAGGGAGGCCTAGGTGTTGCTTATGTTCCCATGTACTTTACACACAGAGCTATTTAAATAATTGGCCCATTGTATTGTAATATGAGGAATATCTATACTTATCAACGTAGTGGGTCACCACTCACACTGCCCCTTTAGCACAGACAACTATTCCTCAAGCCCAGAGAAGTGATGGTGGTAGATAGCACCCAACTTAATCTCTCTCAAACAATCCAAAGGTCCATGGGCACTACAAAAATCATAATATGAATAAGGACACGTTAACAATCATACTCAAATTCCCTAGTTCTTCACTTCCTCTTGACAACACAGACAACACAGACCTCAGCTACCTGTAAATTCTCCCCAAACATGTTTTATAATCCTGAGCAGGTTCTCTCATGTGTTTTAGAACAAAAGTCACAACCACTGTACTGTTCCACTAACCCTTGTCTCACAAGTATCCCAAGGCACCTCCAGACACAGCAGTCAACATATGAAGGCACCCTCACATCTCCAAGTAGAGTTTGATGTGAAAGTGGGAAACACATCCAGCTCTTCTTACTGTCTTGTGCCTTGATTTCCCCAAGTTCCTTCTGAAAGGGCTTCAACTTATGCCTGAAGCTTTCCTCTTTTCCAGTATCCTCAGTCTTCCATAGGTCAAAGCTGGATAGTATAACCATACTGTATTATCTGTGTCCCCTTCTCTCTACCTGGGGTGTATACACAATATTTCATCAATGTTTCTCCTCCCCCCATGCAGGTAAGTTTGAGGTCCTAGTGCCCACCCAGACATGAAGCTTTTGATTGAGTTAGGACTCTCTCACTAAATTCTTAGAAATAAATTACCAAGTCAAAGTAAACAAAGTTAACATTCTCAAAATATGTGGCTTCATATCTTGTACGAGTTTATAGCCTGACCAATGGAGTATGAGAGGCTGGTCAGGACTCAGTACCTAAATAAAGTGACCAAAACTGGACAAAATGGTGAATTAGAAGCATCCTCTGTTTTGACTCCATGAATGAGACTGAACTATTTTGAGGTCTGGAAAACAAGGAATAATCATGGCTCAGGGAGTTTTGGGGCCCTCTACCAGTGTCTAGGTGGAAGATGGCCATTAGAGATGGTTGTGAAAGAAGGTGTGTCTGGCATGGAACAGCAAAAATATTCAGGCAGCAGGGAGCTCTAATAGACAGCATGGTGGTCAGAGACCCTATCCTCCCTGGTGAGAAGCGAGTCCCATTGCCTGAGGGTAGTAGTGGAAACAGAGCACCAAGCATGTGGCTGGCATAGTATTAGGCCTTCAGGTCCTGCCTCCTGGCTACATGTGTTGGCTGCCAGATGGGTCAAAGAGACCAAATCCTCCAAAGAACTTGATAACACAAGCCTTATACCCCCCGAACAGGGAGGCAACTGCTAGGCAGGGTCTGGCAACACTAAGCCCACCTCCAAAAACTGCATCCTGGCTTGTGTTTGCTTCCAGGAAGGTCTAAGGGCCCCAGCCAGGCTTTCCAAATGATGTGATTTCCACAACTGCCTCCCTGCTACATAGGGAAGTTAACTGCTGGGCACTGTCTAAAAATACTGAGAACCAACTCTGGGAACTACATCCTGGCGTATGTTTGATGCCAGGCAGAACTGAGGGCCCCAAGTCCAGACCTCTGAATAGTGTGAATTCCACAGTCAGGAAGGTGAACTCCTGGGGACTGAAAGCACTGAGACCCACAGGCAGGATGCCTAGGTCCCTCACTTCTTCCCCTGCCAGTGCAGAATTTAGTGCTATCTTTTCTCCCATCGTTCTCTGGTGTACTCATAAGTCACCCCTAGGCTTGGACACCTGCTGAATCTAGGGACACAAATTGGGGGGGGGTGTTATAGAGCAAGTGGGAACCTGCCAGCCTACAGCGTATAAACCTTCCTGTGGCCAGAAGGGACTCCCAGTACACAAAGAAGGGAAGCTTCTATGGTGAATGCAGCCTGAGTAGACAACCAACCCTTCCAGACTCCAGCTAGTTTTCCTCAATCTGAGTAGTGCTGGGCATCAGACCCAGTTCCCTGAAAGTGTGGGACAAATGCTTGGCTACTGAGCCATACCCCCACTCCAGTGATGAGAAATAGCACCTTAACACTTCTACTACACTGTCTTGCATGAACATTGAGAACATGTCAACTGCAAGACTACAAGTGAGTAAAACTTCCAACCAACTACTTGGCCTCAAATGTGGAAATCCCAACACAGAAACATAAGCAACCTGATCCCTCCAAAACTCAACAACTCCACAGTGGCAAATACTAATGATAGTAAGGTGAATGAACTGTCAGACAAGAAGCCAAAAACATGATTACAAGATTGATCAATGAAATTTAAAGAGGACATAGATAAAAGCCTGAATGAATTCCATGAAAACTCAAAGAGAGAGATCAATGAAATAAAGAAGACAATTCAGTACATAAAAGAATTCAATAAAGATTTAGAATTTCTGAAAACACTGAAATTCTGGAAATGGAAAGGTCAGTCAAATAAGAAACTCAGTTGAAAGCCTCTGCAGTAGATAGGGTAAAATTGGAGAAAGAATATCAGGGCTTGAATGCAAATAGATATATTTAGAACATTCAGATGAAGATAAAGAAAAAATAAAGTATAAATTTCTACAAGACCTCTGGGACATGATCCAAAGACCAACTCAATGAATCATAGGCATAGAAGGAGAAGAGGTACAAACTAAAGGCACAGAAAATATATCCAATAAAATAGTAACAGAAGACTTCCCAAATCTTGAGAAAGAGATGGTCATCCAGGTACAAGAGGCTTTTAGGGCTCCAAGCAGACAAGACCAGAAAAGAACCTTCCATGTCATGTTATGCTAAAACATTAGGCACACAGAACAAGAAAAGAATGTTGGAAGATGCAAAAAAGAAGCACCTATGAAGACAAACCCATCATGGTAACAACAGATTTCTCCATAGGAACTTTAAAAGCAAAGAGGACATGGAATGATATATTTCAAGCCCTGAAAGAAAATAACTGCCAAACTAGATTACTGTACTCAACAAAGCAATCCTTCACAATTGAAGGAGAAATAAAAACCTTTGATAAAAACAAAAAAACTAAAGCAATTCATGACATTAGCCAGCACTGCAGAAGATACTTAGAGGAAGATAAATGCAATTATGAAAATATGGGAAAGAATAAATCTCACTAGATGAGTAGATAAGCACCCAAGGAATAGAGAGGAATTAAACAATACAAAAACAACAAAATGAGCCAGGTGCTGGTGGCTCCTAGCTATGTGGGAGGCTGAGAACAGAAGGATCATGGTTAGAGGCTAGCCCAGACAAAATGTTTGTGAGACCCCCATCTCAACTAATATCTAGGTGTTGTGGTACACACCTTTCATCCCAAGCTATGTAGGAGGCTGAGATTAGGAGGATTTCCATTCCAGGCCAACACAGGCAAAAAAAAAGTTTGTGAAACACCATCTCAATGGAAAAAGCTGGGAGTGGTGGTGCATGTTTGTCATCCAACCTATGGCAGTAATGTAAAAACTAAAGTACAAATAGGAAGATCATGGTCCAGGACCTCTAGGGCAAAAAGTGAGAACCTTCTCCAAAACAACCAGAACAAAACAGGAGGCCTGGCTCAAGCAATACAGCACCTGCCTAGCAAGTGTGAAGCCCTGAGTTCAAAACACAGTACCACCAAAAAAGAAATGGCAGGAATTACTACATACCTTTCGATAATAACTCTGCTGATAGCCTCAATTCTCCAATCAAAAGACACAGACTGGTGGACTGGATTAGAAAACAAGATTCAACCATTTGTTGCTACAAGAAACACATCTCATTAGCAAAGACAAACACAAGCTTAGAAGAAAGGATGGGGAAAGATTTTCTAAGCAAATGGACAAGACCAAAAAAAAAGAAAGAAAGAAATTATAGACCAATTTCCTTGATGAACACAGGTACAAAATTCTCAATAAAATACTTGCAAACTGAATTCAACAACATATTAAAAAGATCATATACCATGATCAAGTTGGTTTCATTCCAGGAATGCAAGGATAGTTCAACATATGCAAATCAATAAATGTAATACAGCACATAAACAGCACAAAGGACAAAGTCACTAGATCATCTCACTAGATACAGGAAAG